CTCCTACAAGTGCCTGAGGCTCAGACCTGAACTGGACCCTTGAGGAAATTGGATGAGTTTTCAGGCTTAAATCCTGTACTTTTACCGCTGGGAAGACTTTGATGGTGGGAGCTGAGCAGGAAGTGCATCCAAGCTGTCTCATTTAAACACAAGGACAATACAAAAAACCACGGAACGAGATGTAGACAACGTCACATATTACACACACATGGATACGACTTGGCAGAGCAACATGAGGGCTACTTATACACGCATACAGGACCAGAACCACTGAGAAGAGGAGCGCTAGAAACTGTACACAATTGGGAAAAGTAACAACACGACTAGAGACAGGAAATGTTAAAGATAAGACTGAATCAGGATCTGGTCATTTATTTATGTAGAACAGGCAAAAGCTTATGATGACTCAGCATAAATCTCTGATAGAACCATCACTAATAACCATGGATTTGTATGGAAACCACTCTTCACACTGTACTTGTGCTCTACAAACACACGTGAAGACATTACGAAAGCTTTACAAGCCCCTCATTGCTACACTAAGCTAAATTAAAAGAGCTAATCAGTTCAAACTCACTGAAAGTCTGTACACTGACGTCTAGAAAACCCTTGATTCCTCTCATGATGGATCTCACTCTTCCCAGAAGCTCCACAGTGTTTGTAGTCAGAAGGAATTGCAGCCCAGGCTGTAAACCTCCACCGTGCTTATTCGATCGCCCTAAAATCTCCATTATCTCCACCAAGAGTTCAGTAACTAACTCCATCATAGAAACATCATTAGTGTAGCTGTGTTCTTATACATTGTATATGCAGTTCTGCTCTGTGCAGGTGAACCATCTAAACTTACTGTATATCTTAGTAAATACTCTTCTTTACGTCCGCATCTCAGGTTCAGTCTTCTAGTACTGAAGACACAGATATGTTTTATTTTATTTTGAGACTTTATTCTGTCTGAAGAATAAGCAGATGTTCTCACTCATATCTCATCTCCTCTCAAGGCTCAGTTTGGTCTACAAACATCTCGAAGCTGTATACAATGCAGGTTTGTACAGATAAACTCTGCTCATTTCTAAGGATGACTCTACTGTGACGCCGATTCAGCATAACGTCAGCTTCTCTACATCTACACACATGATTAAAAAGTGGAGGTGTTTGTCAGAAGAAGTGCGTTATTCTGATTAAGTGAGTTTTTATGAGGTAAAAGCGCCTCATTTATGATGATACACAGGTGTGATGATCAGCGTGTGCTGAGTTTTACCTCCTGCATGGGGGCAGGGACTGAAATATGGATAGAGTTTCTCAGGTGAAGACTGACCAGTGATAAGAGTAGATATGAGACCGTGGCTCAACATCATAGAAGGAGTACCAGACCTCTCATAATCCACAAACACCCCACCTTCTGGGGAGCCATAGTTTAACGATGACGAGAGAGGGACAGTGGGGAGAGTCCAGAGCCTCATAGTCAGTCGCAGTCCTTAGCCACACAGTCCGTATCCATCCTCAGGACTCAGTGTAATCCCCCCCTTCCTGTTACTGGACTCTGTGGTCACTCCTAATTCCCACTCAGTCTTCCCGCTGACCTGAACCTCATAGTAAAATCTCCCTGAGGAGAACCCCTCCTTTCCCAGAACACAAGGACACTCATCAAACCTCTCTGAGTTTTCAGGGAGATTCTGCTCTGTGTCTCCATCTGTCACTTGTTTCCCATCATCAGACAGAATAAGATTAGGATTTGCTGTATCAGGATCCAGAGTCACATCAACTGAGAGAGAAAAAACAAGTAATTTCAGAAGTGTATCGCATATAGTAATACAGACACACATATATTTATTTATGTAATTCTTGTGCATAAACCTGCATATTGTTGAACTGCTTTTAGTTCTGTTTGGAGAGAAATAACAGACAATATCATTACAATAATCATTATGCTATTTTTACATTTTGTTTCTTTTAATGCTTGAAATAAAATAGATTACATTTAAAACAACTAAATTAATATTAAATACTTCATGTAATCCAAAATATCAAAATACCAAAATTAACACTAATTTTAAAGGACAGCATAATGAAAGGATCATTTTTAATAGAGAATAATGCAAAATTACAGTTTTAAATGAACCATTTACCAAGCATAGATATTATTATTATCAGGACTTTGAAGACATCTTGGAATAACATTTTTTATCACAAGTTCTCACCGATCAGTAGATACTCACCAATCGCCACAAACTTCTCCATCTCATTACTGACTGATCCCGAAGCCAAGACAGAGCTCTCCTCAGAGTCTCCACCTCAGATGAGTGTTATCCTGACGTCAGTCCAGTTCTTGGTGTGTGGACGGCTGCAGAGGGACGGGTAAACCTACAGTCCAGCAGGAGAGAGGAGAAACCCCTCAGCATGGGGAGTGCTGTCCTGTGATGGACTGCATTACTACTGAGAAACAGAGGGACTCTGACCTGTAGGAGGTGGAGGTGGTCCTCAGTGTGGGAGAGCTGCTCCAGCTCAGTGTCTCTCCTCTTTAGCTCAGTGATTTCCTGCTCCAGCTCTTTAATGAACTCTTCAGCCTGCCTCTCTGCTGCTTTCTGCTTCTCCTCCATCACCTCAAGCAGCTCCGCCTGGCTTCTCTCAATGCAGCGCACCAGAGCTCTGAAGACCTCCACACTGTCTGCTTTCTCCTTCTCTGAGCTTTTCTGTCACGAGACAAACCAAATTCATTCATGTAATTTTTAACATTGTATTTCCTAGCAGTTCTGCTGATGTGTCACGATGAACAAACAGTACTTATACGCCATTGTTCAGACTCACTTTATTGAGTTTCACAGAGTGTTTGATTTCCTCAATCTTCTTCAGTCGGTCCTGGATCATCTGCTTAACTCCTGCCTGTGTCTTCACCAGCTGAGTCTGTGGAAATTAGACACATTATAACAAAGCCAATCATTAATTTGAAAAAATGAGATGGATGTGTCTCTAAATGTCTCTCACCTTCCTCTCTCCACTCTCCTCCTCTATAGGAACAGTGCTGTGAGTCTTGTGGTCTGTCTCAGTGCAGAACTGACACACACTCATCTGGTCGTCTCTACAGAACAGCTCCAGGGGTCTCTCATGTTTCTGGCAGATGTAGTCCTCCAGGTTCTCCACAGGGTCCATCAGTTTGTGCTTCTTGAGTTTAGCTGCAGCTTTATGAGGCATCAGATGAGTCTCACAGTAAGATACTCCACAGTCCAGACAGGACTTTACAGCCTCCTCACTGCAGGAGTCACACAGAACCTTTGTAGCTTTGGAGGGTTGTTTCTCTGGAGCTCTGCTGGATTTCACCTGAACTGACTTCCTGAACTGAGCAGCCAGTCCAGAGATGAATGTGTTCACACACAGTTCAGGCCTTTTAGAGAAATCTGTCTTACAAACTGGACACTGGCAGCGTGAACTGCTGTCCCAGCACTCTTTGAGACAGACCATGCAGAAGTTGTGTCCACATGGAGTCGTGACTGGATCAGTGAACACATCCAGACAGATAGAGCACTGGAACTGATCTTCAGACAGGAGACTGCTGGAGGAAGCCATGACTGACGGAGAAGATAAACAGACATCATGACGGTTATTTGAGATCACAGAAAACTTCTTTATGAAATGTAGTTAACCTTATCACAACTGTGGGCCTCTCAGCCTCTTCCGCCACGAGGGCACACAGCTTGTCGTGTTGCTTAATCCTGCTCCCCTGAACCAACAGACATTGCCCCAGTATGTGCTTCATATTCCAGCTGTTTAAAATGCTCTACAACCTGATCTTTGTACTGAATTCAGGCCCTCATTCTGTCAGCCTATAACAAACAACCTGAGCTTAGAAATGTAAAATACAGCTGAATCTAGTTTAACAGAACTAAAACACAAACCGCAGCTAAACAAGTTAAAGACAGAAATGTGCTGAACAACACAAATTCTCAGCTGTAACACGAGAAAAATGACCAGTTTCTCCTTTCTGGCTACTTCCTGTAGAGTTTCTCTCACCTGCAGTGGTGGTAGATCCTCTAAGAACGTCTGGAGAACCTTCCAGCTGCAGACTGAGTTGAGAAAAACTGAAGCAGCTTCAAGCTGGATGTCGAGTTCAGCTGGAAGTAACTGGACTGTGTTTGTGAAAGAGTTTCCACTTTACTTTCGTTTCTCCACAGTGACGTCATGAGGCCACGCCCACTATTTCCTGATGTGTTTGTTGCACTTGCAGGTTTTGTCCACCAGGTGGAAGACATTCACCAACAGAATTACAGAATCCTATCTTTTCTCTACATGACCAAAACATCAAATATAATCACACCACACACACACACACACACACACACACACACCTTTTAAGCCACTTATCCTCCCAGGTCGCAGGGGGAGCTGGAGCCTATCCCAGCAGTCATTGGATGGAATGCAGGATGCACCCTGGACAGGTCACCAGTCCACCAGTGACTTAAAATGCTGTGTTTAATGTACTACCTCATTAGAACCACTTTTTAGAACACATTAGAACCGTTTTTTGCTGGTTTCTAACTTTCTGGTTTTGATCATTTTATCCCTGAGCTGTAAAAAGATCTGAAAATGAGTTTTAAGGAATGAAGTAAAGTAAGTGTAATGCAGTATAACCATAGCCAGCTACTTGGTTATTTAGGCAGTGTCCCGGATTCTGACTCACCGAAAGAAATTAAAGTAAAGACCCTGAACTGGAGACTTGAGAAAATGGAGGAGTTTCAGGCTTAAATCCTGAACTTTACCAGCTGTGAAGATTGAAGAGGAGCTGAGGCAGGAAGTGCATCCAAGCTGTCTCATTTAAACACAAGGACAATCAAAAAACACAAGGAAACGAAGATGGAGACGTACAAATTTACACACAATGGATACGACTTGGCAGAGCAACATGAGGGCTACTTATACAAGCATACAGGACCAGAACCACCTGAGAAGGAGGGGTTAGAAACTGTACACAAGTGGGAAAAGAAAAACACGACTAGAGACAGGAAATGTAAAAGATAAGACTGAATCAGGATCTGTCATTTATTTATGTAGAACAGGCAAAAGCTTATGATGAATCAGCATTAAATCTCTGATAGAAACATCACTAATAACCATGGATTTGTATGGAAACCACTCTTCACTGTACTTGTGCTCTACAAACACAGTGAAGACATTACCAAAGCTTTACAAGCCTCATTGCTAAAATAAGCTAAATAAAAGAGCTAAATCAGTTCAAACTCACTGAAGTCATGTACACTGACGCTAGAAACCCTTGATCCTCTTCATGATGGATCTCACTCTCCCAGAAGCTCCACAGTGTTTGAAGGACAGAAGGAAAGTGCAGCCCAGGCTGGAACCTCCACCTGCTTTATTACGATGCCCTAAAATCTCTCATTATCTCCACCAAATTCAGTAGAACTCCATCATAGAAACAGCATTAGTGTAGCTGTGTTCTTATACAGTGTATATGCAGTTCTGCTCTGTGCAGGTGAACCATCTAAACTTACTGTAGATGCTTAGTAACATTACTCTTCTTTAACGTCGCGTAAAGAAGAGTAAAACACTGCTCATTTTCTAATGATGAACTCTACTGTGAGACGCCATTTTAGCATAAAATCAGCTTCTCTACATTCTATACACATGATTAAAAAGTTGGAGGTGTTTGTCAGAAAAAAGTTGTTATTCTGGATTAAAGTGATTTTATGAGGTAAAACAGCCTCATTTATCATGATCTACAGGTGTGATGATCAGCGGTGCTGAGTTTTTACCTCCATCATTATCACAGGGACAGAAATATGGATAGAGTTTCTCAGTGAAAGACTGACCAGTGAAAGAGTAGATATGAGACCTGACCTCAACATCATAGAAGGAGACCAGACCCTCCTCATAATCCACAAACACCCCCACCTTCTGGGGAGCCTGTTTCAAGGAGAGGGGGACAGAAGGAGAGTCCAGAGCCTCATATTCAGACTCATTTCTCAGCCACACAGTCCAGTATCCATTCTTAGGATTCAGTGTAATGAACCCCTTCCTGTTAACGGACTCTCTGGACACTCCTAAATCCCAGTCAGTCTTCCCGCTGACCTGAACCTCATAGTAAAATCTCCCTGAGGAGAACCCCTCCTTTCCCAGCACACAGGCACAATGATCAAACCTCTCTGGGTTTTCAGGAAGATTCTTTTCTGTGTCTCCACATATGACCTGTTTACCATCATCAGACAGAACGAGAGCAGGATGAGCTGAATCAGGATCCAGAGTCACATCAACTGAGAGAGAAAACACTTTAAATTAATTTTAATAATCTACCACATACAACAACAACAACAACAACAACACAACGACAAACCATGTTTATGTATTTCAGCAGAGAGAACTCACAAACCTGCATGTTGCTGAATTCTCTTCATTTCTGTTTAAAAAGAATAATGATCATCATTTACTATTAGAGTTATAATTGTGCCTGATTTTATTCTTTCATATAAACTATAAAACAGCACTGTAACATTCACAGTGAAAGACCCTGAATATAGTGATTTGCATGGAGGAGAGTTTTCATAGAATTCTCCAGAATAAATCACTTAAATTAACCATTTATAAAACATTCATTTATGTTATAAGATTTCTGATGATAATCGCTTACTAATCAGTAAATACTCACCAATCTCCACAACGCTCTCCATCTCCTTACTGATTGATTCCTGAAGCTGAGACAGAGCTCTCCTCAGAGTCTCCACCCTCAGATGAGTGTTAATCCTGACGGCAGTCCAGTTCTTGGTGTGTGGGGGGCTGCAGAGGGACGGGTAAACCTACAGTCCAGCAGGAGAGAGGAGAAACCCCTCAGCATGGGGAGTGCTGTCCTGTGATGGACTGCATTACTATGGAGAAACAGAGGGACTCTGACCTGTAGGAGGTGGAGGTGGTCCTCAGTGTGGGAGAGCTGCTCCAGCTCAGTGTCTCTCCTCTTTAGCTCAGTGATTTCCTGCTCCAGCTCTTTAATGAACTCTTCAGCCTGCCTCTCTGCTGCTTTCTGCTTCTCCTCCATCACCTCAAGCAGCTCCGCCTGGCTTCTCTCAATGCAGCGCAGCAGAGCTCTGAAGACCTCCTCACTGTCTGCTTTCTCCTTCTCTGAGCTTTTCTGACAGAAAACAATTCACATTCTTTGACATTTTTTTTTCTATTTTGATTAGTAAAAGGACAGAAAAGGTATTGTTACAAATGACTACATTGCAAGTCACTGTGAAGACTCACTTTATTGAGTTTTACAGAGTGTTTGATTTCCTCAATCTTCTTCAGTCGGTCCTGGATCACCTGCTGAACTTCTACCTGTGTCTTTGCCAAGTCACACTATGACAAAGAGACAAATTGTCACAAAACTCCTGCATGTTGCAGTAATCCCCCTAAACTCGCTCTGACTGAATCTCTGAACCTCACTGATGGAGAAGATGATAAAGTTCACTTGTGAACGCATCACTGAATCAGATATTTGATTAAATGAAATGAAGAGTCTGAAACATCTGTATCAATAAACTTAACTGTAAAATGACTTAAGTTTTGACGTTATTGGGTCACTGTGACTGTTCTGTACTGTTCACCTGATGAGTAGTTGTTGAAGTCAGTGTGAAAAATGCTCACAGCACTGTAGTGAGCACAGTGAGGCAGTGTTGGGTGTGGATTCTCCACCACATATATAATACATAATGCAAACACACCTATTTATACATCTGCTGTTACTATTATAATGAACTTGACTCTGGGAGGATTCTGCACTGTTACATCAGGTCTTGCTGGACTGGACTTATTGTTTGTGTCTTTGATTAAGGGGCCCAAAATGTCTGCGTTCAGAACTTTTGGCTGGGTTATGATCACAAAAACACTCTGTTACATTAATTATCCACAAAATGCCTCCCAGCTGCACTGAATGTAATCCTGCTTCTTTATCAGCTAATGCTTGTTATCAATGACTGCTTACTATAAATCATTCTGTGTCTACTAAGTTTTTCAGTGTCTATTATAAATTATTCAGTATCTACTATAAATGATTCAGTATCTGCTATATATTATTCAATGTCTACTATAAATCATCCAGTGTCTACTATATATATTATTCAGTATCTGCTATATATTATTCAATATCTACTATAAATCATTCTGTGTCTATTATAAATTATTCAGTGTCTACTCTAATTTTTCAGTAATTGCTATAAACCTTCAACAATCAATTTAAATCGATCATTATCTACTATGAATTATTCAATGTCTCATATAAATCATTTGGAATCTGCTGCATATTATTCAGTAACTAAGGGCCAAAATGCATGATCACAGAACTGTACGGTGGACAAACATGTCATGAATCTCATTATTAGATCCAAATCACAGGCCAGTATTTTTCACCAAGTTACTTTGATTCCTAAGGCAGTTTAGCAAACTTTTCTCCTAAGTTCACTTTCATTTTCAGATTTTTAATGAATGCAACAAAATTACACCAAACATCCGGATTGTGTTTATAATAACATCTCAGCACGTTCGAGAGAGTTTGCACAGTCAGGCATCAAACCAGCATTAAACTAAACAACGTTTCTTTAATTGATCACATCAAAAACTTTAAAAGAGTTCAGTGAAGATAAGCGCTTAGGGTTCACTTGTATGTAATTAATCTCCATTCAGCTCATTTAAAAGTTTCTGAAAGTTTTGGATGTGATGAATTGAGGCTCAACTAATGAAGCTGATGGGTTGAATCAGGTGGATTAGAGCAGCAGAGACATGAAATACTGCATTTCTGGATCTTTTGAAGATTGGAGGTAAGGAACGCTGCTAAAACCACACGTATATACAGCATATATCGCTGCTGTCGGAACAAAACCTCGTATCTCAATTTTAGTTGTTTTTCAGCTTTTCGATATAGTTTGAAGACGCCTGTTGGCCTTTACATTGTGGGTAAATTTCATGATGAATGGACCAAAAGAAATCACCCAAAATGACTTGGAGAAAATTCTGGTTCCATTGACTTACATTGAAAGTAAAGCATGTTTTTTCCTTCTCATATATAATGTGATGTATATGTGTATCTATCAGTCGATCTGTCTGTCTGTCTTATAGATGATAATATATAATGCAGTATCAGTCTACTCAGGCTTTAGCAGAGCTCAGTAACACTGAGATTAATAACCGATCACATTGATTTATCAGTCCACTCAGGCTTTAGCAGAGCTCAGTAACACTGAGATTAATAACTGATCACATTGATTTATCAGTCCACTCAGGCTTTAGCAGAGCTCAGTAACACTGAGATTAATAAAACCTCGTATCTCAATTTTTGTTGTTTTTCAGCTTTTCGATATAGTTTGAAGACGCCTGTTGGCCTTTACATTGTGGGTAAATTTCATGATGAATGGACCAAAAGAAATGACCCAAAATGACTTGGAGAAAATTCTGGTTCCATTGACTTACATTGAAAGTAAAGCATGTTTTTTCCTTCTCCTGTAAAGTTGCCATTTTGGAGAGGTTTTGTTCCGACAGTAGCGATATATATCTGGCCACTGATGTCAGTGTTCATATATAATGTGATGTATATGTGTATCTATCAGTCGATCTGTCTGTCTGTCTTATAGATGATAATATATAATGCAGTTTGTTTGGAAAATATATCTGTTTCATACAACACAGAATTATATTGAATTAACTTTGCACTGATTCTCCAGACTTTTCATGACCCTCTGTCTGTTACAGTGAACCCACCCATGGCGTTAACTGTAACCTTGCGCTTCCCATCATTTTTTAATTGTACTGAACGGTAGGAGCTAGAAACAAAGTTTAGGAGTTTATTTGTAGCAGAGATGTGTATGTTGCTTTCATAAAAATATGATTATTCTAACTTTTAATATTTTAAGTATCTTTTAGTGAGTTGTTGGTATCAAAAAGTCAAAAGAGCATTAGAAACATAATTTGTTAGCACTATAACAGGTCTAAATATACTATACTATTATTATACAACAGTTAGTTCCAGCCACGCAAGCTGATTGGTTGAGAGGCGTTCTAACTGTGCTGTTATTTCACCATAACATCACAGGTTTTTACACTGCATCACTCCACTGAGATACTGTTGCTAAGCAACGACTTTGACAGCTGTAGGAGACGCTCAAGACATTTGAACATTTTTTTTCTTACTTTACCACAAACAGAAAATGGACACTTTTAAGGTCACATTTGACCGACAGCCAATTTGGTCCGACTCTGAAGATGAGACGACACTAAATTCCCAAACTGTCATCACCACTGAGCAGCTTTTCAGTCGGCAGCTGTGACAGAAGAACAGCTAAACAACCTGGAATCAGCCAGAAATGAACCCAACACCATTCGCCAAACTGAATGGGCTGTAAGATGCTTTACAGACTGGCTGGAACAAAACAACATTAACACTGATCTGGCAAAAACTGACAAAACTGAGCTAAACTTGATATTGTGGCAATTTTATGGCTCAGTCTGATTTGGTCAGACTCTGAAGATCAGACTACATGTTTGGCGAATGGTATTGGGTTCATTTCTGGCTGATTCCAGGTTGTGTAGGTTCTTCTGTCACAGCTGCCGACTGAAAAGCTGCTCAGTGGTGATGACAGTTTGGGAATTTAGTATGAGGAGCTGGAGAACGAACTGCCGGCTGTGCAGCGAGTGGGCGGAGCTCGTTACTCTGATGTAGCAACGAGCTGCTCGTTAAGGAACTATAATTTGGCGGAAGGGACTGCAAACATTAAAACATATTAAACGCCGCGTTCACGGCCCAGTTTATTAATTTATTACTTTATTTATTCAACTGTTGTATAAAAGCAACAGAACACTCAAGGTTGTATATTATGACCAATAACATCACAGCTGTGATGATCTACGGCCCTCGCCTTCGGCTTTCGTTAAAAATGTGCTTATTGTTTAAACTAAGTACCTTTCATGTTTTCTTTCTTGGTGCCTCACTCACAAACATTAAAATCTGAGGAGATTATTAGTTTAATCATCCCTCAAAAGAGTTTAGTAACACTGAGATTAATAACTGATCATCACATTGATTTATCAGTCTACTCAGGCTTTAGCAGAGCTCAGTAACACTGAGATTAATAACCGATCACATTGATTTATCAGTCTACTCAGGCTTTAGCAGAGCTCAGTAACACTGAGATTAATAACTGATCATCACATTGATTTATCAGTCTACTCAGGCTTTAGCAGAGCTCAGTAACACTGAGATTAATAACTGATCACATTGATTTATCAGGCTACTCAGGCTTTAGCAGAGCTCAGTAACACTGAGATTAATAACTGATCACATTGATTTATCAGTCTACTCAGGCTTTAGCAGAGCTCAGTAACACTGAGATTAATAACTGATCACATTGATTTATCAGGCTACTCAGGCTTTAGCGAGCTCAGTAACACTGAGATTAATCTTCATTTACCTTTATTACAGCATCCATTCTTTTCAGGAGACTCACTTTCAGTTCCTCAAAGAATCTGCAGACACACCTCCAAAGTTCAGTCTCAGAAGCTGGTTGATCATTTTCTGAAGTAATCAAACTCATTCAGTGATGCTGATGTAACGAATTCTAGCTAGCAGTGAGCTGTTAGCTTGGTTAGAGCGGTGTAAATTAAAAGTGCTAACACAGTCGGCAATTTCTATCATTAACCTTGGGTTTAAATGAGTGAGCAAAAGAAGAAACACCAAGATACTGTGGGCCAATCAGAACGATTCCAGGATCGCCTACGGAGCCGGGGCGACCCACTACCCAAGAGACGACGCTGCACCACTGCACTATGATTG